TTTTCATCCTTCATTATAATGCTCACTGCCGTAACTATCAAAGCACATTCCGTTGTGTCAATTATGAGATTTCCGCGTACCTGATCGCTATCAAGGTCGGTCTTTGAGAGAAAAAAAACGATGTATCATTTTTCCGAGTTGCATTTCTGAGATGCACCTGCTTTTAGGTCAACGTACCGGTACCCGTAAGAATGAAGAATGTTAATTGTATCAGATTTTTAATTAACCTGTATATTTTTTTCATTATTGGCATAAATAATATCTTAAATTTTACAAATTTAACATTGTTTTAGATAAATGTAAATAATGTAACATTCCGTTACTGTCACCATTTCACAATCAACATAGTGAATGTATTATATCAAAAAATACTTTGCACATAAAGAAATAAAAAAATTAAACGTAAATTTTGATTTTAATTAATAATTATGCAAAAGCTTCTCATAACATTTCATTCGTACGTAAAGGAGCAAAAATGAGAGCAAGCATAATATTCTAGTAACGGATTCTGTTTTTCGTGTAACATACACCGAAGTTCTGACGAGTTAAAACGAAATTTATGCACGACACGCAGTCGCTTAGCCGGAGACGAATACTATTTCGAATTCAAGGACTGAAGTGCGTTGCCTTTCGTAGATCAGTGTCACGATAAAGTATCAATGAATTTGCGCTAGTTTGCGATTTTGAAAATTCCACATTACAAAATCGCTGACGTGTTCTATGAAGTGATGCATTATTTTTAACCCTTAATCGAGAAAAATGTACTGACCGTATTTTTGATTATTTATTTTCGATTTTCAATTAAACGTTAAATATGTTATCGATACTTTGTGTAGTAAATAATTTTGAAATTTTCGTTTAATATGCTAAATAACTTGCTATTTTTTTAGTGGAATATTTTATGTAAATAACACTCGCCGCCCGGGTGTTTATGCAACCAGCTTTCGCGAAACAGATAGAGTGCGTTGCGAGACGAATCTTCGCGTTTAATTTGTAATCGAGCGCAATTACCCTTTCGACTGCATAGTTCGTTATATAGAATTATAAACTAATTACTACTTTCAGGCTGCTTTCATACCACCCGAACGCCAAGCGCGCATACTCCCCCGGCGTGTTCTTAATGAAAGGTCTCGTCTAAACGTTCACTTTCTCGAACCGTGTATCAAGTGTGCCGGTTGTGGCCTGCATAACTCGTAGTTACATAGTATAGTACCAATGCGTGTATATCAATATATACAGAGTGTATATAAAATGCACAAATCGTCAAAAGAAACGAAAACGTTTCTACGCTAAGTAAAATAATTACGCGTTTCTTAGCTCACAATTATTCTTCGTTATTATCACATAATATTAATTCTGAAACAATTTATATTCAAACTGTAACTCTCGATTATCATCTTAAAAAAATAGTATTCTTTGAAAAGAACGTGTATTGTTTAGTAAACATTGTAAATTTTTAAAAAAATCAAATTAAATCTTCTTTTTGTTCCTACAAAAATTTTGTATCCTTCACTTTTTGTAAAACAATTTCTAGAATAGCTGAAGGACGGGCACTAAAATCTCGTGAAATTCTTACAAACCGCTAAGAACTTTGCGGCCGTCCACTCACACCACCCGGCGAATCATCTTAATAGATGCTCACGAGAGTGCTCCAGCGGAATTCCAGCGCGCCTTCTTAACGGCAGTATTAAAATTTTATGCGTTGAATATTTTAGGAATATCGACCTGTCGTGTTTCTAACAGAGCAACTTTTGGCGTACAGTCTAGTCTGTTTCTAGACAAGTTGGGAGACAGTTGGGAGAAATTTCAAATTTACTAATGTAAAATAAGATTTTTAAGCAAAATTTAGATTCTAAAGTTTAATATTTTATAAAATTAAGAAAAGGTGATTTTTCATATAACTTAAAGCACCTCGAAAGAAGATATTTAATAAAGTTAAAATCTATCAAGTCCAATTTTTATTTAACATTTAAATTCTTAATAGACATTATATTTTTAACTGCACAAGAAGCAAGATTTAAAAATTTGTGTGTATGTGTGTCGCGGATTTTAATTAAATTTTTTAATTATGCAAAATAATTCAGCATTTAACACATCAGATTCCTTGACCACGCGTAACACCAATCGATCTTTTTTTTTTTTAGCAAAAACTCGATAAGCGAATATCATTGCTTCATTACTAAAATATGTTGTGCGTCTGGCGTGTAGAGCCAGGCTTTGCGAAGACTAAGAGCACCTTCGTGCGACGTCTGGTTGTGCGAGATGTGTCCCCAAGGGATTCGCTGGTCGCAAGAAGAAACAATCCCGGTACTGATCGTGATTCCCCGAGCGAGGCCGCGCCGTTTGAAGTTCAACACGGACCGAGGGTCTGCGAAGACGGAAATTTGCAGATATCTTTTTTTTCCGGCACATGTGTGTGGGCGTCGCACCGTCCGGGAGCACATGATTTATGCACGCGAATGAAGTCATGCGTAGCCGCGAGCGGAAAAAGAAATCGGAGCCGATGCTTCGTGTGAAAAAAGTACCGAAATAAACGCGAGGGCGAGAAAGATTAGAAACCTCAAGAGTGTCGTACTTTTCCACGTGAGTAAAAGCGTGATAAGCATGTAGAGATAATTTCGAGTACCAAAGTTGACAACTGTGAAATTAAAAATTAAAAACGTAATCAAAAACCGATAAAAGATGTCTGTATTAAATTAATTAAAAGTATAAGAAAAATTTTAATCTGCAAAAATTATTTTCTTTTTACTGCGATTTCTTGTTTACTGTGTAAAAAGAATATAAGAAATACATAATAAAAGCTCAAAAAAGATTAAAGGAGCTACAGACATTCAAATCGGATCTGCGAAGAACTCAATGAAAATGATTGATACATGTTATTTGTAGATGCAACTCGAAACATATCTCAATTTAAATACCGTTTATATGTATACTGTAGCTCGTAGCTACAATTCTATTAATATTCGTTCATATCGCTCAAGACTAATTTTAAAACTGCCAATTAAGTAATTTCTATTTCTAATTTTTCTCTTTCATATAGCCACAAAAAAAAACCATAAAAAGCTATTTTTTTTAAATTAGAAAAATAATACCAAAAAAGTCGATTTTTTGTACCTATTCCAAAAATAAAAGTGGAAACGGCTGAAATTCGTTTAATTAAATGTCACACAGTTCTCACCAGCGATACTGTTAAAAAAAGCGGAATTTGACATACACGATAACGATACATTTTTGCGTGTATGCGGTTAACTCATATCAAGGCCATGCGATTAGATTATCGACGCGCCTCGCACACGCCTACTGACGTGTATACGTGCGCGACAATTAAAACAGTTAATTTATAGGCCACGCGCGTAGGCGCTACGCGACCTATGACCTCACCAGGAGACTCATACTCGTGTCCAAGACAACGAAAACGACGAAGACGAAAACGACGAAGAATGACAATGATAGAAGCTAAGATGCAAGATAAAAGCAAAAACAAGAATGGAATCAAGATGACATCGATAATAAAAATAATAATAACATATATCGTTTTGCATCGTTATGAGATGCGTTAGAATCCGATCGCCACACGGAAATACAAACACTTGGTTACAGAAACGTACGTGTGCATTATAATCACTATATCGTCGCTTTACGTAGCATGCATATCACCGACGTCGAAATGTGATTTATATTCACAAGAAAAGAAAGAGGCGTTGCTTTTTCTAGCACGTGGAATTGCTTTAACTAAGCGCCTCGTCAGACGAATTTAAAAGTCAGAGTTACGAATGAATTTAACACTCGTGCATTTAAATATTTCGTGACAGCATCGATAAGTAACATCGCAGTGTGTTGCAATAATTGCCAAAAAAAGATACGAAAAGCTAAGGTCAATATGAATAAAATTTTGTAGTAAATAACTTAATTAACATTTTTTATGCTTTATCAAAAATATAAACTTCAAAATATTAATAGTTAAATGCTTCCGCAATATAATTATTCGATTATCATTTATATTATAATAATTAATTTATAAAAATATCAAAAATATAATTTCATAATAACAACGTAACGAAAAATATTGCAATGTTTAAAAAAATGTATTCTTATCAATGCGAATTGTAAATACTTTGTTAACTACATTAGCATTAATATTGATAAAAATATTAAACATGCTGTTCATTATTATTGTAATTGGCACACTGTCTTTTTACTGTTTCTTTATATCACTATTTTCGCATATAATTACATTTAATTGAAAATATATATCTTTGTTAAAAAATATTATTCACTGTTACGAGGTTAGGTATCAAATATGAATGTATGGATTTCATATAAGTATATATATATATCTTTAAATAGGTTTTTAAATGCTATGAAAAAGTTTCTTAAAGATATGAAAAATGTAAAAGCTATTTTTCAAAGCTAATTTATTCCGTACAGAAGAATCAAATATTCGGTTAAATCACGTGAAATTCATGCATTCATATTCAATACCTAACCTCGTAACAGTGAATAATTATATTTTTTAACAAAGATATATATTTTCAATATATGTGTGTGTGTGTGTGTGTGTGTGTGTATGTGTATACATATATATATGTATAATATATATGTATGTATATATATGTATATGTATATGTATATATATATATATATATATATATATATATATATATATATATA